ACACACACACACACACACACACACACACACACACACACACACCACACACACACACACACACACACACACACACACACCACACACACACACACACACACACACACACACCTCTTGGCAAGTACAACTTGCTGAACTTCGAGGTGACCATCAAGCCTGATGAGGGCTCAAAGAGCAGTTTCTCTTCCTGCACCCAAATCCTGATGACCTACTTAATCATGAGGCAGTTGAGGTCTTGAGGGAGTATCCTCGCCAGTTTGAGCTGAATGTGCAGAGGTTAATGGCAGGGGTTGTGGTTGGCGGTACGCACTTCAGCAGGTGCTTAGGGGTTGATTGTTTGTCACCTAATGTCCGTGCAGGGCAGTCTAGAAACCCAGTTAAACCACCAGTTGCCGGCCCGGCCTTTGATTAAAGCCCACCTAGTAGTTAACAYGGTTGCAGGCCGTCGCAAAAAGGCTGGCTGCRCMGGTCRATGGTTTGGATTTCTCACGGTCGGGCAAAATCAGCGTTGGGAAATGTAGGCTTGGAACAGCTGGTGGTGTAACTATGCGGGAAGAAAAATCTGGCAGTTGTTTCCTGGTGCTACCTTGGTCGGTTATTCATTGATGTTGTGCACCTGTGCGGCTTTCTCGTACAATGGTTGATAGCGGGCCCGGATTTTCTCAGAGTTGTGTGCCATTACATGAGAGGATGCTGGGTTAGGGGAGCCCTCTGTGTTAGGGGAGCCTTCTTCTGTGGTTCTATCTTTTTTGTTTGTCGTGCTTGGGGGGCATTGGAGACACGTGAGGACTTTGTCAGTTCTGTGTCATTACATGAGAGGATACTGGGCTAGGGGAGCCTTCTGYAGTTCTTTGTGGTGGTTGGGGGTGTGTTGGAGACATGAGCACTTTGTCTGAACTTCTYTGAAGCTCCTGGATTTTTTATGTGTAGATGTTTACTTGAGCATCTGTAGCAATTGGGAAGTGCTAATGTCTGTCTCTTTGTTCACCTTGATCGATGAGCTTTTTCCGGAAGGGTGGTTGAGATGCACACTACTCCTGTGTATAGTATCCGATTCGCTATTAGGAATGCCCATGGGAGATGACTTCGGCCGTTTTTGCGACATCTGGGATGGAGGCCTAACCATGCACGCAGGAAGTGTATCTAGGAACTTTGTCCTGTATACCCTGTAGCTAGAGGTATGCAACATCGATCAGGGGAGGCGGGAGGGCTGGGGAATGGCCCGTGTGGTGAGGGGTATGATGGAGTGGTGGTACGGCAAGTGCAGGGAGGTGTGAGGGGGTGGGGAGAAGTCCTGGTGGTGAGGGATGGCTTTTCTGGGGGCAGTGCTGAGCGGGTGTATAATGGAGTGGTCGTGGGGCAAGTGCAGGTAAGTTCGACAGAGAATGTGCTGTAAGGTTCGGACAGTGAGGTGGCTGGACATAAAAAAGTTTGGCCTGGTGGACAGTCCTGAGGAGGGAAGAGACAGGAAACAAACAGGTGTTTTTTTTTGTAATTAAGAGTGATTTATTCTGGTCATCTGATTGTATCTGGAATTGAACTTCGGTGTGTATTTCAATAGTTGGTGGGTGTACCCACTGAGCTACGGGTAAGCCCGTTGGTAAACAAACAGGTGTTATGACCCGTTGGTAAACAAACAGGTGTTATGACCCGTTGGTAAACAAACAGGTGTTATGACCAGATCACACGAATTACCACTTGCCCCAGATAGAAAGCATAGTTCATGCGAATTGGCATTAATACTTACCCCAATTAGAACGCGTAGCCCTCATGAACTGGAATCCAGGCCAGGGGTCTCAAATTCGTCAGTGCTGCAGAAATTTTGAGATCCGCCGGCACGTTGGGACTGAGACACGGCCCAGACTCCCATATATGAGGCAACAGTGGTAATCTCTCGGAAAGTACAGAGGGCAAGTTTCCCGACCCTCACAGTCAGCATAGTACTCGTGAGATTCCTTGGGAGAATGTGGTAGCCAGAACAACCCACTGGCTGACGTGGAGAACATTCTTCGAGCTGGCAGCATTCCATCGTGTCAGGTCGAGATGAGTGGTGACGGGTGCATCTAAGAGAGAACTGATGTGTTCACGTCGACAACAGGATGCAGTGTGGTGATGGGTGCATCTAAGAGAGAACTGATGCGTTCACGTTGACAACATGATGCAGTCCACAACAACGTGTTTGAGTGGAGCTGTTTCTTTGACAGTTTGAACAACAATCCTCATCAACGTGCCAGTTTTCACACCTGACCTTGGACCTACGGCCCACGCTAAGGGGGCAGCATCCCCCTAATTAAAGACTGCAGGTTTACGCAAGAAGGCACAGCAACGTGGGCAGGAGAACGGAGGTTCACAACCCCTCTCCATAGAGGGRAAGGAAGAACAGGGTTCAGAGCTACTCAAAAACCTATTGTGATTTGGGCAAGAAACTTGTGCAAGAAAAGCCATAGCTGGTTTTCAAATTAGAAAAAAACATGCCAGTAGGAGTATGTGTTACTCTTAGAGGTAAACTGTGTATGCTTCACGGTTGGTCGGCTGGTAGAAAACAGAGCGCCCTTACACGTTGAGAGGGCAAAGTTAGCATGAAAGTCCAAGGCATAGCAGTAAGCAGGCTGCTACCAATCCAGGCATGACTACCTTCGGCTATCAGCCATTCACTAATGCAGTCCATAGAACCCCAATCAATCAGCCTTATGAGCCAGACAGCATGCTGCAGACGACGGATCAAACAGGTGTTATGGGGTATTGTGTTTTTGGAAATGGCAGATTAGAAAGTAAAAAAAAAAGGGGGCAAGTACGTTGAAGTCACAGGTGCAGTTCCGAATGGGCAAAAACATCGCTCCGTAGGCAGGTTTGTCAAGTCGGAGTTAGTAAAGGCAAGAAAAACAGCTGGCGGTACTTGACCCATGGATCATGCTAGGATTCAGCAGTTTTGTCATCTTCTGGACCGGTTCCTTCCCAGGTACCGGGCCGGTCCATTTCATGTGGGGACAGTGGGGTTGAGTGTGGACCCCCATCCCAGTGAGGGAACCGCACCCCCAGTTTTGGCAACGGACGGCCAAGTGCCTGAGGGAACCGCACCCCCAGGCCTCCGCCAGGGAAGTGGTTGGCTCAGCGGTGAGTGCTCGTCACCCCCCCCCCCCCCCCCCCCTCTCTCTCTCTCTCTCTCTCTCTCTCACACACACACACACACACACACACACACACACACACACACACACACACACTAATGAAGTACCCTTCATTATGAGTGAGTGTATCTGATCCTGCCGGTCGGATGTGTCCATTCGAGCTGTTTGTTTTCTGGAAATTGGACATTGGTATTCCTTTTTGTACTTTGTTTTTATTTTTGTTCCTTTTTTTCTTTTTTGAGGAAACTGCTCCGGGGTCACACTTTTAGTTCAAAATAGGCAGCTAAAACACGTCATGGCAACATGAACGTCCTCGTAGTTCAGATAGGCAAGAAAAACTTTTGATGGCAGGCGGACCACAGCTATACTTCGTATCAGGCATGAACATCATTAAAATCGTGGCTGCGTTGGGCCCAGTCGAGGACGAACAGGGACATGCAGAGACCACCTACCGGGAGCTGTTGAGAGAGCACTCCATATGGCCCTGTGGACCCCACCTACCGAGGCTGCAAGTTCCGTGAGTGGCAGAGAGAGAGAGAGAGAGAGAAAGAGAGAGAGAGAGAGAGAGA